TTTGAATACCCCAGAAGTCCAACCACTGGTAGTGTTGTCGAGACCGACTTCGCTTTGCCAGCTGGATCTCCCAGAAGCTCTCATAACTGGTACAGTATAGGCTCTGTCTGCCTTGGATGGTTATGAATAATTGATAACTAATCAAACATCACTAAATTTTGCCAAAATATTCTTGCAATCCCAGACTTCACATCTTTTCCTAAGACTATTAGACTCTTGATAACATCCAAAATCATGTTTCATGAGTTTGGTTATTGTCTCAGTTGATAATGTCTTGAATAATCATTTACCTTCAGTTATTCTGTATAATCATTAGCTGTAGAGCTATATTAATAAAAGCAATTGATTTTTATAAACTATGTTTTTGCTTCAGTGTCAAATTATTAATAAGTTTTGGTTCCCTGGCTACCCAAAGTCAATTAGATATTACAGATCCAACAATATAATCGATTCATGATTTTATGGAACATTATACTTTGTCAGATACCTTTCATATTTTATTTACAGTTTATTACTGTGACCATTTACAAAACGTTACCATTGACAGTTAGGTCAAAACAAAGTCCTTTCACAATAAAACATAGTGAACCTCACACCCTTTGAAGACATGCTAATTCAATTTAAGATTTACTGCTGCATAACAGCTATAGTTTGCTTCCACGTAGTACTAGCCACACTGTTTTCTTTAGATTTTTTTTGTTTGTGTGCATTCATAAGTCCAGGCTGCTGTGGTTGGGTCAGCTCTGCAGGCTTTGATTGGTTTGATGTGGGGATGGCGCCCTCTTGTGATGTAATTGGTGTACTTGGAAATCTTTTCTTTTATGCTGGGAGGGAGAATTTGTTCATACCAACAGATGCTTGTCATAAAACAGGGCTGCATGGTGGCGCAGTTGTTAGCACTGTTGCCTCGCAGCACAAAGGTTGCAGGTTCGAAACTCGGCTGCGGCCTTTCTGCGTGGAGTTGCGTGTTCTCCCCATACATGCGTGGGTTTCTTCCGGGTACTCCGGTTTCCCCCATGGATCACAACATGCCCTATAGGTTATATAATGTAAGTTACTTTGGATAAAAGCGTCTGCTAAATAAATAAACATCAATATCAAAAGATACTTTATTAATCCCAGAGGGAAATTAGAGTTTCAGTACACACAATTCAGAGATCAGTCATACGTGGGCAAGATACTTGACAAGAATTGGTGACTGTGGTCATTCGCAACCCTGAGTCGCGCTACCTTAATAGAGATAAGAGGGTTACATGAGGATTGGTTCAGGTGGAGGGAAAAAAAGACACTTCAGAGTTACCCTCCACCAGGAGGGCAGCTTTGCTCTGCAAAATAAACTACTTCAGACAGATATGCAACAGACTTCAGACAACACAACATAAGTGTCCACTAGGTGGGGTGGTGGGTTGGGACTATCCCCACTTCAGTTCCTGCAGCCACGATAAGCAGCGCATGTCACTTCGTGGATGGGGGGGAGCATTGACGGTTGGAGGGTTGCAGTGACCCTGGAATGTTTCAGCGGCCTTCTGGCAGTCCCGCCCAGGCTGGGAAAGGAGACAGAGTTGAGTTGCCATAGCGACGGCACATTCCACATATCTTCTGAGGGGGGAGTTTTCGTTGGAGCCTTGCAGGCTCAAGGGCGCCAGATTCCGATTAGAAATTGTTTTGGGGCCAGACAAAGATAATTTCCTCTCTGTCTTACAGTTTGTTGGTCCTCAACCTCTCAAAATCCCAATAATGGACATTAATCTATCCCAATCCGTGCTGATTCGTCTACTCTCTCCTTGATGGCATCCATCTTTGTGCCAATGCATGAATTTCAGCCAAAGTCCCAAGCTTACAATTCATCTTGACAATTATGTGAGTCTGTAAATTCACAGCGCGGTGCAATCCATCTCTGAGCTCCGGGATCTGGCCAATATTCCTCGACAGCTCGTTAGTTTTCCGGTAAGCCAGGTAGCCTCCAATACCGATCAGCAGGAAACCTGACACCAACACCACGAATATCCACACGTTTTCAGAGTCCTCCACAGACAGCTGGTCTGTCCTGAAGGGGCATTCGGGAGCCCCTTCTCCCGTTCTCATCGTTGAAAAAATTTTATCAACCGCTTGAGTGACCAACTAACGAGATCCACTTTAGTGAATTTCAGTTTCCAGTTTCCAGAAAAAACGCAGAAGCAGCCGTGCACCCAGCACACACAGACAGACAAAGGCCTTGAGGATAAGATATGGAGGAGAGGAGAAGAAAAGCGTCTGCAGCCTCCAAGAGCTGGAAGAAGAAACATAAACATAAAACGTGACAGGAAATTCCATTCAAAAAGTGAAACTTGTATATTAGATTAATTCATTACATGCAGACTGATACATTTTTTTTCATTTTGATGATCATAACTGACAACTAATAAAAATCCCAAATTCTGTATCTCAGAATATTAGAATATTGTGGAAAAGGTTCAATATTGAAGACCCCAGGTGCCCCACTCTAATCAGCTGATAAACTCAAAGCACCTGCAAAAGACTTTAAATGGTCTCTCAGTCTAGCTCTGTAGGCTGCACAGTCATGGGGAAAACTGCTGACTTGACAGATGTCCAAAAGACGACCTTTGATACCTTTAAACAAGGAGGGCAAGAACCCAAAGGTCACTGCTAAAGAGGCTGGCTGTTCAGAGCTCTTTGTCCAAGCACATTAATAGAGAGGAGAAGGGAAGGACAAGATTAGTGTACAAGCAGCCGGGATAACCGCACCCTGGAGAAGATTATGAAACAAAACCCATTCAACAATGTGGGGAGATTCACAAAGAGAGGACTGCAGCTAGAGTCAGAGCTTCAAGAACCACCATGCAGACATATGCAGGACAGGTTTCAGCTGTCAGGTTCCTGGTGTCAGGCCACTCATGAACAAGAGACATTATCAGAAGCGCTGGGCTAAAGACAAAAGGGCTGGACTGATGCTCATTGGTCCAAAGTTAAGTTCTCTGATGAAAGCTATTTTTTCTTTGGAAACCAAGGTCCCGGAGTCTGGAGGAAGAGAGGAGAGGAACAGAATCCATGTTGATGGTTTGGGGTGCCATGTCATCTGCTGGTGTTGGTCCATTGTGTTTTCTGAGGTCAAAGGTCAAGGCAGCCGTCTACCAGGAAGTTTTAGAGAACTTCATGCTTCCTGCAGCTGACCAACTTTATGGAGATGCGGATTTAATTTTCTAACAGGACTTGGCACCTGCACACAGCACCAAAGCTACCTGGTTTAAGGACCATGGTATCCCTGTTCTTGATTGGCCAGCAGACTCACCTGACCTTGGTGAAGAGGAAGATGCAACACGCCAGACCCAACAATTCAGAAGAGCTGAAGGCCACTATCAGAGCAACATCATAACACCTGAGCAGTGCCACAGACTGATGGACTCCATGCCACGCCGCATTGCTGCAGTGATCCAGGCCAAAGGAGCCCCAACTAAATACTGAGTGATGTTCATTGATATTCTATTATTCTGAGACACTGAATTTGAGGTTTTCATTAGTTGTCAGTTATAATCATCAACATTAAAATGAATAAAATATTGAAATACATCAGCCTGTGTGTGTTGAATGAATCTAATGTAAAAGTTTCATTTTTTGAATGGAATTACTGAAATAAATAACCTTTGTCATGATATTCTGATTTTATGACCATGCTGATGGGTCCTGAGGACACATCCCAGAGGATGTGGCGAGAGATTTGATGGCTGTCCCTATACACTGGTTGTCCAGATGAGAGTTGAGGAAGATCTCATCTAACACACAGGACTGTCCTTTCACCTCTTCTCTCCTCTTGAGAAGCATTTATTTTTTTGTTCATGTGTGTTATTGCTGAGATTGAAGACACTGATTTTAGAGAGCATTTAACACACCACCAGTTGAAATATCTGCCAAAATTATTTTAAGAACAATCAAGATAATCGGAAGCATCCTGAAGCTTTTCAGATGGGGAGAAATGGGTCAAAAAGTTTCTTGCCATGTGAACCACCAACTACCAAGTTGTTTAGACTCAAAACCAGACTGAGAGCCCTTGAGATGGACTCCCTGTGCTGGAACTACCTTTTGTAATTTTGTACATAAAATGTCTGTGTAACTGATTTTGTAAATGTTACTTTTGCTGCCTCTTGGCCAGAACTTTTAAATCTCATTGGGACCTTCCTGGGTAAATAAAGAATAAATGCAAAAATATTCTCAGAAACCGGTAAATATCAAACTTTCCTCTCAGAAGACTGAGGTTGTCATTTTCATCATTGAACTGTCCCAGTGGGAAACAGTTGGTCTGGAAAATAAAATAAAACTAACTTTGTTGTCAGTTCATTAAATCATCATAAACCAAATATTATAAATATTTATAAAAAAAAACAAGCTGCAAATAGCAATGAAAATCCTTTCTACCTTGGATGCTCTCCAAACTGTATTGTGATTGGAGACACTGACACCCCTTCATCCATGCATTTATACCTAGAAACAACACTTCTGTGGTCAGTAAGTAATTCAGTTGTTAGCTGAACTTGTTTATGACCAATTCATTGGACATAAAGTAAATTTTTGTAAATACTATTGAGTTGTATACATGAACCAAAATCAAAAGCTTTGCGATAAATAATTTCTGTTAAATGAATAAAATATAGAAAATGCAGTCCGAACAAATTAGTTTTTCCTGACTTTCCCTCTTCTATTTTCAAGTAATTTAAGATGGTTTTAGTTGATTAAACTGAAGCAAACAGTAATAATCCTAATTGGCTCCCACTCACTTCTGAAATATGATGAATAATTAATTAAAGGTGCAAAACCTGGTTTCAGGTGATTTTTGTATTCATATTGTTTTAGTCCAGCTCTATACTTTTTAAATTTATTTTACTCTCCAGTTTCCCTTCTATTATTGCGAATTTTTCTGTGAAACTTCTACAAATGACAATGCGACACTAGAACATTGGATTGTAGTCAGAAAACCCAGACACAATCTGGTCAGTGAATGCACCATTGCTACCACGTGATTAAAGCAGGTTTATTGGCGCTGGCACGTGTTAGCACAGTACAGAGTAGTGAGTTGTGACCGGTTGTGACTGGTGTAATGATGGAAATGGAAGACAGTCCACATGCTGTAATTTGCAAGCTATGCGGAGACGTCTACAGACTTATTGGTAAGATAATAACATCTCGGACATTACAGTTTTAAATCTTTTTTTACCGTGTTGTTAGGACCTACACGATCTGTAAGTTAGCTAGCTAGCGGCTTCCGCTAACTACCGTAGCTAGCGAATACAGCTAGTTACCAAACTTGGCGGTAAGTTTATTGCTTGAATTGAGTAGTTCCCACAATAAATTAAAAATATTTTTTAATGATGTTTATCAGTAAGACAGATACAAATAATATAATTGGATTCATGTGCATTACTTAAAGAAGTCAGAAATTAAAGTTTTATTTCCCATAGTCTTGGTGGTAAGAAATGCTTATATGTGAAGCAAGGTCAACAACTGGAAATAATTTAAAATATATTTATTGTACTGTAAATGTACCATAAACTCTTTTGTTTATTAAAAGTGGTGCGTAGTAAAAGTTTACTTCACGCACTGGTGAAAATTTAGTATTTTGGAGTTTTAGTTGTACCGGTTGTCCTTATCACCATCCGACTTTTTTGGGATGATTCTTTTTTTATGATATTTAGAATAAAATGTTGTCTTTATTGTTTTTAATGAACAGGGCTTAAAATCTTCACATAATAAACCTGAAAACATTCATTACTTAGAAAACTGACCAAGGCTTTTTAAGTCTGTTTATTTTTGTGAAAGAGGGCTGTTTAGAGTTTGAAGAAACAAAATGACTCATTCATACATTTCCAATATTTGAATGGCATCATCATTTATCCTGTTGCTTTGCTTCTACTTGTCTTTTTCCAGAAGATGGTGTGGATGCCAACTTGCCCCGTGTGCTCTTATGTGGCCACATCTTCTGCACAAATTGCCTGCTTACCATCCAGTGGGAAAGTGGTGTTATATGCCCTGATTGTGAGGTAAATTCACCTGTGGGTTTCTGTGCACTTGCAAGTAGGGTTGCAAATGATCAAAACATGAGTCGTATGTAATAAAAAACAAAAGTTGTCACCCCCATCTACTTCCGGACTAGGGCAGCACGATATTAGGAAAAGCTGTGATATTCAATAACAGTGCTTACTATTGCGATATCGATATTACTCACGATAAATGAACAAATACTAAAGTATGCAGTGTTGATGTCGTCTGGCTTATGATGTCTGCTCTGGGTTCAAAGCAAACAAAAACTAATGCATGAATTCCATTACAACGTAAATAAAAAAAAATGCAGCTCCACCTGCTACTGTATTAGCAGAAAAACAACAAACTGCATGCATGCAGTTTCTCAGTGACCTTAAAACATCACCTCCACCATAAAACTTTTTCTGATGCTCCAAATACAGAAAAACATCCCTTACCAGGGTTTTTTGAATAAATAAAAAATCTGAAAATAAGTTTAAATGTTAAATAAAAGTTAACATCACTTAAATGCAGCAGCAAATTCTCTCATTGCTACTGAACATTTTCTCCACTTATGTGGTTATGATATAAAGCTGTTGCTGCAGTTGGGAAGTGAACTGTGCTGGCCCAAACTAGGAGAATATTAAGATTTTCTGAGGGAAAGAGAAAAACAATTGTCTATCTTTCAGAAGAGGAACTGGCAAAAAAAAACTACATGGAAAATATGTGAAAACGTTTGTTTTTAACCCCAAATTGAACAAGTTTACCTAGATCTTAAAAAGCAGCTCAGATGATGAAACTGCAACTATTATTCTGATAACAAGCTAACAAACTGAACTAGCTCCTCTAAGAACACTGGCTAGCAGAGCTTCTGACTGAGTTTATGTGCAGCAGCAAATCAACCATCCTGATTAACAAGGTTATAAAAGCTCATAAATGAAAAATCACTTTTATGTGTGGGGGAACTTTTCCAGGCCCTCTTTAGCAGGGTGGGACTGGGAGGAGAGTGCTGTAGCCTTTTAGCTGGAAGCTAACCAGAGCCTGGGGCTAACATCACCCGGTGGAACACTAGCGACATGGAGGTAGGTGGGTTGGTTCACCGGCACGTGTCGGAGACAACCCGGTTATTATCAGCTGCTTAACGACACCGAGCAAACTCACGTTCACGTTTGAAAGCAGCGCTGATTCCAGAAAACTCAGCACAAAGTGTGTTCGTTAATCTGAGCCAGCATGATGAACAAGGGAACGGCGCCGCTAACTCAGTTCGGGTGTTGCGTTTCACCCATCCTAAGGGTCTACGTAGGGGGCGGGCGTATTATGTGAACGTACCCATCGAGTTGGCCGCATATCAGAAGGGCTACATTTGATTGGTCAAATAATACTTCCGCGTAAAAAACAGAGCTGGTTTACAAAAAGCTGATGTATGACACGGATGGAACTGTTTGAACCAAACATTTATCGCCGTTTTTGACGTGCTTTGCGATGGGCCTATCGCACGTCCTGTTATTGCGATGACGATAATCTTTCGATTTATTGTGCAGCCCTATTAAGGACCATAGGTCCCTGGAATATCGAAAAAAATTCAAGTCAATAGGGCTAAAAACGCTATTTTGTAATTCCGTTTGTGCCATGGATTTCACATATGATGTCCGCGAATTTTCAAGACACATTTTGATACCAAGAAAGCGCTTTTTTTTTTTTTTTTTTTACGGGGGAAACATTATTTTAGGTTTTGTGTGAAAATAGGTACAGAACTACAAATGCGCTTTACCAAAGGGACGTCACTGAACCAGACATGGAGAAAAGCAGAGGGAAAGGGGCTGTAAGTTTAACAAACTTCAAATCCTTCTTTCAGGGGGATAGAGCTACCATAAATCTGGCCATGTGGTAAGTAGCAGCTACGCTAGGGAAGAGGAGGTGATGTCTTACCCCGGCTTTCCACAGGAGCCGTCAGCAGCTGACAGCAGCGCGAGTCGGCCGCGTCTCAGGAGCAGCATGTCGCGGCCTTTACGCGCCGGTTCTATTTTCTATGCGCGACGCCTCTGAAACGGGTCAAGTTCGACATTTTTGGGGAAGGAACGACAGGAAATCGGATGCGGAAATGGAGAGAAGCTCCCGAGATTTTCAGAATAAAGAACGTACTGCCTTCCGGTTGCTTTACTTTTAAAAAAGGTTACTAACTGTGCAGCCCCGTGAGAAGTTATCACATAGCTAGCGGTCTCCTTTGTTTTTCAGGTCCGTATTGGCGATTATAAAATGGACAGAACATAAAACACAAACATTTTGGAGCCATGTTGTAGTTTTCTCCTGCTTGTTGTTGTGTTTACTGACGAAGTCACTCGTGTGACTTCGTGCTCGGTCGGTGACAGCTGCTCCCCTGCTGCTTCGCGTCTCGTGGGAAGGGCCAAGCAGCAGTTTACGCGAGCAAGACGTGCTGCTGCAGTAACGTGCTGCTGACGGCTCCTGTGGAAACCCGGGGTTCTATGCAACGTATTGACGTCCGATTTGTAGTCATGCTTAGTTAGGGTTGCAGCTATTATTAATTTTGGAAGGACGATTATAGTCTGAGAAATTATCACGGTTTCACGTCGATTGCCATGATTATTTTACATGAAGTGTTTTCACGTCTGAATTAACATATAAATCACACACTTTCTCTAAATTATTGATAAAAGGCATGATTGTATTCTATAAAGGTTTTGAACTAGGGCTGAAACGAATCATCGAATGATTTGAATGGTTCGATTCATTAAATTCCTCGATTTTTTTTTTTTCTATTATTTTTTACTGATTTGAAGCTTCGTTAAATGTGCGATCCACAGTCTGAACACATTTTGCTGGAGCACCATAAGGTAATCGTGTGCTGTGGAGGAAAATAGAGAAACCATTGTAAAAGGCTGACACGGTCCAAAGTTTGGGATCGAGAGTTAAACTCCAAGTAGAATTGCTAATGCTAAGCTAGCGGGTAGCATTCTCATGAGCAAGTGTGGTTCGGAAAAAACTTGATGGTTGTGAACAACTAAACTCCAAAAGTGGAAGAAAAATCCCTATCATCCCAATAATTGTGGATCTGCAGTGGTGTGGGTAGGGCTGTAGCGAAGCCTCGATGACGTCGACGGCTCGATTCTAAAAATTCGTCGACGTCAGATCCGGTAGTCAACGCACCGCGCCCACTTGTTGCATCCCCAGGAGTTTGTAAATAGAGGTGGAATCTGCCTGTTTTTCCTCTAGTTCGCCCTCTTCTCCACCTTCACTAACATCTCCGCCAAATACCAAAGACCCGGAACCACGTCCGTCCGCTACTAGGTTCCTTTCGTGTTTTGCCCGCCTTCGTCTCCCGGCAACGAACAACAACTTCCGGGGTCAAATGCGCTGCTCCGTCTCTATCGCAGATGCAGAAAATCACCGGGAGCGTTTCTCCCTTCATAAAGGAGCTTCTTTCAGACATTAGGAGAGCTGTTTTGGTGGTAGCAGTCTCTCCTCTGTGCTGGTCTGTTTGCTGCTGGGTGTTTTTGGTTTATTTAAACTTGGTAACTTGAACTTAACGTTGGTAAAGCTACTGTTAGCATTTTCGCTAACAGCTTCTTGCGTTTGGATAAGCTGTTACGTTTTGGTTTAGAGTTAATCTTTTTTGTGGTGCAGATCTCCCTTTTATTACATTTAGAGTGTTGTGGGTTTTCGGTTTAGTTTAAAATATCACCTTGAGTTTGGTTTAACCACCCAGTTTAGAGTTTGGACCTTTGGAGATTCTTATTTTGGTCCAGAACCCTGTAATCATTGCCCAGCGGGACACCCCTACTTATTTGTACTTTTGTTTTAATTCCCCACAGGCAGAATTAGTTTTATTACTCCCAACCTGTGGATGAAAAGATTTTTTTTTTTGTAGTTGTAAATAAACCTGATCATCATTTTAACTTTTAAATCCCACATTACTGTCCCTTCCTTTTTGCACACGAGCCAAACTCCCCAGGAAGAGTCGTAAGACCACTCGCCTCACGCACATAAGTGACCAAAACAAAGCCGCATGGAGACACTCCGTCTCCAACCACCTCTCAGGCAGCAGCCTGCACTCCCAAGTTCTACACGTCACCAGAACATAACCAACCACAACACAATAAAAGCAGTGTTAAACAAAATGGAAGGCTTGTAGTGTTTATTCACTTACAGTAACAATTTATCAATTTTTGGGAGGAATTAATTAGAGATTTTTTGGTTTTTATTAACTGTGCAATAGAAAAATAATCATTAGATTAATTGTATAAATAGTCATTAGAATAGTCGACTATTCGATAAAATAATCGTCAGAATAATCGTTTTAAAAATAATCGTTTACCCCCAGCCCTAGGTGTGGGGCAGAGCCACTGCAGCTACCATCTGGTTTTTCCTACAAGTCGACTCCGACATGTTATAGCAAGCAATTGTAGCACATAATTTACTAACAATTTATATTTCAATACAATTTAGACTAGATTATGTTGCCAACCTGTACATAATACAATAAATATACCACAAGTACATTGTTACAGGTAGAAATTAAATGTTAGCATTTCTAGTAGCTTACTACTGAACTTGTTAATGAAATAATTAAATTCTACAGATTATATGTGAGTATTTAGATATGTTATTTTGACTATAGGATGAGGTCAATACAAACCTTTAATTGTTATGAAATGTGCGTCAAATGTTTTCCATAAAATATTTATTAACTTTAAATATCAGCTGGGAAAGAGGGAACTAGACACCACCAATTCAATATTTTATTGAGCCTTTTATAATTTAGCTTTTTTATTTTCATATTTTTAGCAGCAGACCATAATCTCGTTTCACTCGAAACGTGGTCAAATAGAATACTCTTAAATCGATGGAGGATTCGATAGAATACTCGAATATTAAAATATTCGATAGCTGCAGCCCTATTTTGAACCCCTGAAATATCTATTGTTCCCTTTTCAGGGATTTTGCTTAGAAAGATTCACTCTACCACTGATTTGTAATGTTGATGTTTTACCTCCACAAATAACACACGCCTGGAGGAGTTCTGCTGTGTGGTGGAGTTGCTCATGCTAACAGTAAGCTTCTACTAGTCGAGACGTTCTCTGTTGTTTCCTGGATGCTAAACAAACAGCCTTCCTCATCGTGAGACAAGATGGGTGAGTCCATGAATGTTAAGAAAGAAAGAAAACAATCTTTTATGTAGCGCTTCTCAAGATAAAAATCACGAGGCGCTTCACAAAAACAAAAATGTAAGTATAAAAAAGATTTCAATATATAATTAAATTAGGGCTGCACAATATATCGAAAAATTATCGTCATTAGGATAACAGGACGTGCTATAGGCCCATCGCAAAGCATATCAAAAACGGCAATAAATGTTTGGTTCAAACATTTCCATCCGTGTCATACATCAACTTTTTGTAAACCAGCTCTGTTTTTTACGCGGAAGTATTATTTGACCAATGAAATGTAGCCCTTCTGATATGCGGCCAACCCGATGGGTCCGTTTACGTAATAAGCCCGCCCCCTACGTACGGAGGGAGAAACGCAACACCCGAACTGAGTTAGCGGCGCCGTTCCCTTGTTCGGGGGTTGCTCAGAGCAACAAACGTACTTTGTGCTGAGGTTTCTGGAATCAGCGCTGCTTTCAAACGTGAACGTGACTCCACTCGGTGTGGTTAATCATTTTTACCGGGCTGACTCTGACACGTGCCGGTGAACCAACCCACCTTCATGTCGCTAGTGTTCCACCGGGTGGTGATGTTAGCCCCAGGCTCCGTTTAGCTTCCAGCTAAAAGGCCACAGCACTCTCCTCCCAGTCCCACCCTGCTAAAGAGGGCCTGGAAAAGTTCCCCCACACATCAAAGTGATTTTTCATTTATGAGCTTTTATAACCTTGTTAATCAGGATGGTTGATTTGCTGCTGCACATAAACTCAGTCAGAAGCTCTGCTAGCCGGTGTTCTTAGAGGAGCTAGTTCAATTTTTTAGCTTGTTATCAGAATCATAGTTGCAGTTTCATCATCTGAGCTGCTTTTTAAGATCTAGGTAAACTTCTTCAATTTGGGGTTAAAAACAAACGTTTTCACATATTTTCCATGTAGTTTTTTTGCCAGTTCCTCTTCTGAAAGGTAGACAATTGTTTTTCTCTTTCCCTCAGAAAATCTTAATATTCTCCTAGTTTGGCCCAGCACAGTTCACTTCCCAATAGCAGCAACAGCCTTATATCATAACCACATAAGTGGAGAAAATGTTCAGTAGCAATGAGAGAATTTGCTGTTGCATTTAAGTGATGTTAACTATTATTTAACATTCAAACTTACTTTCTGATTTTTTTATTTATTCTAAAAACCCTGGTAAGGGATGTTTTTCTGTATTGGAGCATCAGAAAAAGTTTTATGGTGGAGGTGATGTTTTAAAGTCACTGAGAAACTGCATGCATGCAGTTTGTTGTTTTGCTGCTAATACAGTAGCAGGTGCAGCTGCATATTTTTGCAATAAAAATGTTATGTTGTAATGGAATTCATGCATTAGTTTTTGTTTGCTTTGAACCCAGAGCAGACGTCACACGCCGGACATCAAACTCCATACTTTAGTATTTGTTCATTGTGGGCTTGCCGCCGATATCTCCCGGGACTCTGCCGGCTGCTGGTTGTGGGCCCCCGGGGCGATCCTCTGTGCCTCTCGAGGGGGGCGGGGGCTTTTCTGGTCTTAGTCTCCCTGGGGTCCCTGCACTCTGGGGCAGCTCCTGGATCTCTGGGACTTGGAGCTCCCTCCATCTCCTGCACATCTTTAGGGGCAGATCTGTGGCCCCTCACACTCTCTATTGGACGCTCCTATAGAGAAACCTTACATAAACAAGCGCGGGTATGCACACAGGTGCTCTCATGGTGCTCTCATAAGTATGGACTTGGGCACGTTCAACACGTCTTAAGGCTGTGGGTGCCACTAAATGCACTGTGATTTATTATCGTGTGATTGTTCAGTGAAACAATGTTGATTATATATTTCTTCAAGTTGACGCAGTGATAACTGGATCTTGTTGTGTTGTTGTTGTGTCCCATTGTTTTGTTTTTTTTTTCTCTTTCTGCAGGTCTAGAAGCAGACTCTTGTTAATTATTGTTTATTTTTGTGGATGATCCAAAGTCATTTTCTTTAGTGTTTTGATGCCTTTAACTTGTTAAATTAGAATAAGCAGGGTTGCAAGTGGAAAATGTTAATCTGAAACAATTAATACATTTTTTATGTTTATCATCATTTTGTAAATTTGATGTTTAATATTGAATATTTGGTGTGTCCTTTGTTACGTGCAGAAATCTGAAGAATCTGAGTGTCTTTGTCTTGGTCATATTGATGCGTGTCAGTTCTTTAGATTTGTTTTTATTTGTGAGACTGTTTAAGTGGAGGCCTGAGAGTAAGATGAGATGTTCCTGTTTGCAGCTTGAGTCAACCCTTCCAGAGACTGGAGTGTTGGGCTTGCAGGAAGAAAGCAGGATCATCGGTCTGATCTACACGGCCAGAATCAACAAGCAGAAAATGTACAAACAATTCAACCCACATGCAGCTGAAGCCTTGAGAGCCAGACTTTCATATTACGTGTTTTTTGTTTTCTTGAAGCCCGCGCTGTGACAGATCAAAGGTCTACAGGAGAAACAGACAGGCTCCACCCGTAGAGATGAACACCAACCCTGGAGATGGGCAGCAGGTATGATTGGGTTTGGTTTGAATCTGGGAGCTTTTAGTTGTAGAGTGAGTCAGTATAAGAGGACAAAGTCTGTTGGTGTTTTCCACAGCCCGCAGATGTAGGGAAGGTAGTGGATGAAGCGCTGGCTCAAGCTGCAGACACCCTGGCCCAGCTGGAACACATTCATGAGGTAAAAGCTGCTGGAGATCCAAACTCCACTTGGACTGGAGTGGTCCATGAAAGTAACCCTGCTGTTTCTGGTTCGAGCAGACCCTCAAAGCTGGTGTGGCAGAGCAAGCAAAGAGAGAGAGAGACCGACTGGAGAAGCAGATCCAGCAGGCCTCCTTCAAAGCTATAAAAGCTGTTAAAAAGTGGTGCGGACCATAACACTGAAACATTAAAGATTCACAGTAAACCTTTTCTGCTGCTCTGTTTTCAGAAGGCCTTTAAAACTGTCTTCCTCATTTTGATGCCAACAGGAAAACTGTGCAACTCTCAAAGCTGGAAGTCCAGTTCTCCACTTGCCATGATGTGGCGCCCAAAGTCCAAGAGAGGATTAAAGAGTTGGAGATGACCATTCAGATGGCCAGAGAAGTACGCCGCATTCCCTCCCTTGGCCAGTACTGCATTCTGGATAAGGTTAGACGTGTGGTCTCCTCTTTTACACTCCTTAACAGCTTTATTAGCAGTATTATAAAATTCTGCCTGAATTATGTCACTTTTATGTGTGATCAGGTAATACAGACCCTGCAGGCTCCTGCTGGTGACTATTCTGATGTGAAGCATATTGCTGCAGTCACTGGAATGAGGTTTTTATTTAAATTCATCTTTATTCAGTCTCAGAACATGGGTGGCTGAAGAAGCCATTTTTAAGTTTTAGATTATGGGTAGTCGGGTTTCTTCTCACAGATTTAAAAACATGCATGTTAGGTTGACTGTAAATCAGGACTTTTCAACTCTGGTCGTGACGGTCTGTTATGCAGCATATTTTGCTGTCCCTGCTGAAACACACCTGATTGAATCAGCTCATCAGGCTCTGCAAGGACCTGTTTCTCTCTTGCTGATTAAAATTTTTGCTAAAGTAGAGACGTCTCTAAATAGTAGAGACACATATTGACACTAAAGGCTCTTTTGTGAGCTCCATTCATCTAATCATGTATGTTTGGGTCCACATGCAGTGGAACACGTGTTGAAGCAGAAGTAGATTGAGTACATTGACATTCCAGGGTTTTGCAAACTAAACATGTTTAATTTATTGTTTTTGCCATTCATCACACGCTTCCTTGCTTATTTCTGTTATTCTGAAACTTAAATAACATTTGCTGGACTCATACAATAACAAAAGCTAAATATCCTTAATTTACTTGAAATGATTGCTGTTGATGCATGAAATCTTGATTACCATGAAGAGGCCCTGTATGATGATGGTGATGTTTTACACGTATGCCTGTTGTAGCTGCGTTTTTCAGGAAGAGAGTCTGAACCAGTCTTTGGTGTTATCTCTGAAGATGGAGGTCAGCAGCTCAAGCCAGTGAGTCCGTATTAGCGTTTGTATTTAATTGTTATTAAATGACTTATTTCTCCTACTTTTGTTTTGAGTGTGTGTGTCTGTGTTCGCATCATCTATCTAATTGTTTTGTTTTGAAGGTCTTTTCTATCTACTTTATATGAAGCTTTGTTTTTTACTTATTCTTTTTTCATCTTGTGTTTAGCTTGTCCAAGTCCACCTTAAAAAGCTTATCAGCTGGGACTCCCAGCTGCCCCCCTCCTTTGAAAGAGGCACAAGACATAAGAAGCTCCTCCTTGCTGCCTGTTCGAAACAAGCTCCCAGGCTCACAGAGGCAGAGCTCAGGTACCAGCAGTGCATCACCCAGCTCCCCTTCGAGCCGCCAGATCAGCCTCTCCTCCAACAGCACCACCTCAGACTTTGCACCAGATGTGATTGTGGAGGAGCTTTTGTATGAGGGACAAGAGCACGGTGTGTGGCTCGGTTTATAAAATAATTGAATTGTGTTTTCAATTGAATTTTCTTTAAATCAAGCTTCAGCACAACGTACATTGATATTTTCTGACATGACAGTCAAAACGTTAAAAAGATGTGACTCTAATAATGAAAACTAAAAGTAAGAAATGCTTTCAGATGCATTTATTAATAGAAACACACGTAGAATTTTCCCTGCATTATTTTACCAAGGCCTGGGTCTTTAATCACAAAAACAAGACCACCAAACAACAACACATTTCCTGTGTTTATTTAGATTTACGGTAATTCTGCAACTGTTATTCCATCAGACAAAATTCAAATGGAAATAAAGAGAAGTTGTACTTTAAAGGGACATTATGGAAGATTGACAGCCAAAACATGTATAGAAATAATAAATGTCTTCTTCATACATTCTCCTTTAATGCTCTGGTCCTGTAGAATGAGCCCTGGCATTTTTACTGTGATTGCCTGTTTTTCTGTAAAATCACAGAAAAAGAGAGCTGCTCGGGTCGAGCAGGCTGCTTCATGCGCGTTCATGCTCAGGCATAGCCCGTAGCATTTGCTATCCGTAGCTTTAGCAGCAGAGAGAGAGGCAGTGCCACTTTGTTGCTGTTCCTAACGCCTAGTGACAAAGCTAGCTACATTTCTGAGGACCCTTAGCTACTTTCTGTAGAACTTTCTTCTAGATATTTCCTGCAAATTAGCAACAAAATAGCCATTTTCGCTCCGAACCGTTCTTTGGTTTGACGTTGTTTCAGCTGTCGTCAAGGATATAAATGTTACAGATACTGTGCGTTGCTCACCTAGCAAGATGTCTGACTCCCATGCAGAAGACCTGGGTTTGATTCTGGGTGTGAACATAGTTCATTTAGAGTTTCTTTTTTACATTAATGGTATATTTTTTTACAGTATGATGCCCACATTTTTATTTGAGACTCGACGAACGGCATTGAATTCACAGATAAAAAAGATGTGGGTTCAACTTTCATTTTGGAAAAATTTTTCAGGGAAGGGAAGGGAATGATCTGAGCATGCAGGAGGACTGACCCATCATAAACCTTTGTCGGCTGTGCTGAAGAGAAAGGTACAGAACCAAATTATTTAATTAATTAGCTGCGTGTTCTCCTGTCCTCTGTCCTCCGGGCCACACACACACACACGGGACTGTCTCAGCTGTTATTTTCGTCAAGGAGTGTGCACGTACAGCATGCGTGCCTCGTGCACGAGCCTACTATTGAAGCTGCCGTTACGCTTTTGGCCTGAGGGGGCAATCGCGAGCATAAAAATTCAAAAGTCCGAAAAGTCCCTTTAAAATCAGCAGTGTTATTAGGGTGAATCGCATGAAGCCGGTGAATCAGCCTCTTCGTCCCTCCCTCTCACACAAACAGCGCAGTGAGGAGTGAGCACATGAAAATCATAATTTTGATCAGAAAACTAAAAATTGTTCAGCCTAAATCTGTTGTAAATCCCCTTTTGGACTTTGTTCTTCAAGTTTTTATAACAGGAAACAATAAAGCTTTATTTTTATTTCCTGAGACACCAGTGGCTGATTTCAAAACTTTCTGCTGTGTTTAATTCTTATTGGTGCTTTGTTTGTAATGTTTTTAGTAACCCAGTGGGTTGAAGTTACCCACATCGTGAACCCGAGTCACTTCTATGTCTGCTACATAGCTGAGAGGAAAAAAGAAGATGGCCTCTCCAGAAAGATTGACCGATTGTGCAGTGAAGATGGTTCCTTCTTCATACAGGAAGACGGAGTAAACAGTGGTGTGTGTTTGTGATGTTTTATTGTTGACTGGAATCTGAGGTTGGGCATCGATTGGACCCAGGACTAAACTCAGTTTTTCTTTGAATCGTTCACATTTTTTAGTCGATTCCTAGTTTTGATTCCTATGCTGCTGACCGGAAGAATAATTTGCAGCCGATCTTCGTAGAAAAAATGTGATCTGCTAATTCTGGTCAACGCCTTTCATAGCTGATCACAACAGCTGTCTGTTGGTCCTATTGTGCAGCAAACACACTGATTGTGCTGCAAGTATTTTTCTTTCTTCCTTGAAAACATGTTTGTCTAAATTAAGGTGATTTCATTGTTCGTAAAATTAAATTTATGTTGGAAGTTCAAATTCATCAAGTAAGAGCTGTGGTTAGCTGGCTCATTTAAAACAACTTTTTTGGACCCTGCCACTCGAAAGAATCTGAATCGGGAATTGATAGGCACCAGAGTCATTTAAATTCAAACAGTGGCCAACCCTGCTGGCGTCTAATGGGAATACAGCAGTAGCAGATTGGTTCTATCTTTGTTCCTCTCTAGGCTCTCTGGTCTTCGTGAAATGGGAGGATGCACAGTGGTGCCGTACCAGAGTGGCTGAGGTCTTCCAGAGAGGACGTAACGAGGCTGTGAACACCTGCCCAGTCACCCAGCTGGCTAGTCTGCGAGTGTTCTACCTCGATTATGGGTTTACCAAAAACATCCCCATTCAAAGGTATAGAAACATAAACTAACACTGAGAATGTTTGAGGTTAAGTTCCTACAGGGTACTCTGAGTATTACACATCGGTGTCCCATCTCTTATTGTGCAATTCTGTTTTCAGTGAGGAGGGAGCAGCTAATTCTTCACTGAAGTCTTTGAACAAATATCTAAGGAAAGTAAGCAGCGCTGCTAATGTGGAGCTGAGGCAATATGTTCCTCGAGCCATCAGATGTTCTCTGAAGGACCTGGTTCCTTATGACCTGGTAAGACCACCAAGGTTGAGCTGTTTTTGTCGAAAAGTGCAATGTAAGCAAACTGGTAAGTTGTGTGTGTGCAGGCAGAGGGCTGGAGTGAGAAGGCAAAGGTTGAGTTCCAGAATATGGTCAGTGGCAAGGCTTTGATCATGCAGCCTTTGGGCAAGGATGGAGATTCTTTACTTGTGGATCTGCGTAAAGTTCCCATGGCAAACTCTAGGAAAGTTTCTGTCTCCGTCAGGGAGTACCTGGTGTTCATTGAAGTGGCCAGGTATTTATAGATTCACAACCCAGTGAACATATTCTGAAATTTCTCTGAAGGTTCTGCACTGTTACTGATTAAGCTAGATTAATGTTCTGTTATTCTTTTGTAGCCTATATTCTTCAGTGAAGGCCTCCATGAGGCCTCAGATGTTCTGCCCTCCTGTGTATCCAACGACCAACAGAGAAGTCAACGCTATTGTCAGGCACATCAATGACCCGTCTGACTTCTACATCCAGCTGGTATGGAACATGGCCTAGTCACCATCAACCCAATTCTCAATATAATCAGGTTTTTGTTTTTATGAATGAATGCAGAACTTTAATTGCTAACTCTTTAGAAAGATTGTTGAGAGCTATTATAATTAAAAATGGGTGGGCTTGATTTTTACTAGCAGGAGGTGATCAGTGTGTGTATGTGTGATCAGTAGCGATGGGTACCGAATTCTGTACTTTTTAAAATACAGACCGAATTCCATAGTACCGACTGAGCACCGATTCACGTAATTTGAAACGGTCCCTCGTGAACGTGCTCTGAAGTTTGGCTTCACTTTACTAAATGCGACGGGTGATTGGGTGAAGATGAAACCAGCGACAACGATCTAAGTGTGAGGCATCATGGTTTTAATCTGCTCCAGCAGCTAAATAAACTGTTTAAGATAACGTTATCTTGATATGTTAGCTTCCATTGCCACCATTGTTATCAGCTAATGGTGCGTTCGCTTTCTCCTCGGAAATTCTAACTTCCCAATAGGAAAAATCAAATGAAAAAGGACGGCAAAAGGAATGAAGATGCACAGTAAATTTAGATCACAGTAAAGATGTTTGCTTCAGTTTAATTATCAGCTTATAAAACTACAAGGACAATGTTAAAATACAAACAGTTGTATGTTATTTATCGTGATATTTATCAAATATGGTTATATATTGAGAAAAACAAGTATTTAATTATAAAAGAGAATTAAAATATTAAACACTCAAAAGTATCTAAAATTGGTACCGTTAAGTACCGATATCGATTCCTAGGTACCGGGAATTAGTACTGAATCGATTCAAATGTCAAAGGTACCCATCCCTAGATCAGTATGTGCCAATTTGTAGAGGATAAGATGTTTTTTTTTTTTTTTTTAAGAGTTGGAGCCAGATGTCTTATAAAACAGCGCTGGGGCCTTTTACTACAATCAGCATCAACACGTACAGCCATCAGTGAAAAGCTCCGACTTGAAGTGGGATGTTGCTTTTATGCAGTTCTGTCATGAGCATGCCTCGTGCATGCCCTTGCACAACCGTTAAAGCTGATCAAGTCCTCGGCATGAAGTGGGATTCCTTCATACAAGAATAGATGAGCTTGGCAGTTGTAGCTTGAGAAATAATGAGTTCTGTCAAAAGATGTGTTGAGAAACCGGACTGTGGGTCAGCTTGACCTGACTTCAAATTACTTTCCAAACCAGATCCCAAAATATGCTGTTCTAGCTTTGATAAACAGTTCTTGGAAAACGGCACATGAAGATCATGAGATAAACAGGCTTTCTCGCAAAGGATCCACATTTCAGTTCTATACCATTCTTACAGGTGACCTCTTGACCTTTGCGGCCACTACATATGCTACACGGGAACACAAAAATAGTGATGTTGAACATTTTTCTCGGTCTTTGGCTTTTGTCATACTCTGAACCAGGGAATGGCTGCAGGCAGTGAGGCAGCAGCCAGAAAGTTCTGGAACAACAAGTGACAGTTGCGTTTATGGACCTGGTCAGCGTGCTTTGAAACACAAGGAAGCAGGGACTGAAAAGTTTAAGGAAGATGGGGGGAAAATTCTGAGCCATGCTGTTGGAAAAGGCTGTCAAACCGAACCGCACCCATCCGAGTCATACTAAGTACAGGGTTCCTGCGGGGTCTTAAAAAGTCTTGAAAACATAGAATTTGAAAATGATACCTTAAAAAGTCTTGAATTTTGACAACTGGGTCTTAAAATTTGTGGTGCGTTTAAATTCTCCAAACTGTATTTGTCCTCTAAAGTTTCATTTGTCAACCACAATCGGTTTTATTAAATAATGTAGCATAAATAAAAAGTGGCGGAACCAATAATTGAGAACGCTATCTATTCAGCTCCCGCGCTACAGCAGTGATACAAAACGGTAATCATAACGCAGACCATACAGACCTCCAACAGAGATGCGGAAAATCTCAGCAGGCCATGAGAAAGGTTGACCAACGCCTAGGGCTGGATCTCTTGGGACTGAGTGAAAACATTCGGTAGGTACCGATGTCAGGAAAAAAAGTATTTAAATGTTCCAGTGTGCCACCGCGGGTCACATGACTGACCAGAGTCACGTTATGAGTGGAGGAGACGCGTTTTCTTTCAACAACACTTCTCTGCAGTTTGCGGATTAAAATGCTAAAAAAAATAATAATAAAAACTTTGTTGTTTGGGTGCATTTTATTTAAAGTAAGCGACACCAGCGAGAAGATTTGTGTTGCGAAAATCAGGATTCACCAGCAATCTAACCAAGTACATCGTCGTGCAGGGCATCCTTTTGAGAGCTGAAAAATGGATCGTCTTTGACTGCAAAAAGTAAACCCGTGTCCTTCACCCTCCAAAACACTTAAGGAGTCTAAAGATGGAGGCTGATAAAAGCAGAAATAGGACATAAAACCAACTTGCATGCTGTTTACCAGCATTAAAAAATGCAGTTCAGCAGGGTTGTTACAGGGTATCCGCGGGGTCTTAAAAAGTCTTAAAAGTCTTGAATTTGATTTTATGAAAGGAAAATTAAGACCCTTAAAAGTCTTAAAAAGTCTTAAATCGATTTAGTAAAGTCTTAAATTTGGTTGGTATTGACGTGATTTTAAAATACATTCGTCTCATACTTGCAAACTTGATGCTTTTCAGCGAAAATTGCCATTTATGAAACTAAATGTGTTCACGTGTATCAAAGAGTTTTTGTTTTAGGGAAGGTGAGTCTTTGGTCGGGTTTCAGTCGCTCTTTATAAGAATCAGTTTCAGAAAAATGAGGAGTGTTCATCCTCTTCACAAACCATCTTTGTTAGTGGGTCACGAGTTGCCATTCTACCAATCACAGTCACGGAGACAGCTAGGGAAAAACACTCTGTGGTAGCCAATATCATGGCACCGCTACTACTGTCGCCTCAGCATCTCGCTGCGGCTGAAGCTTAAAGTTTGGGTGTTCAACTGTTGGTCCAAAACAGCTTTCCCAGTAATTAGACAGGTCCATCCTAACCTAAAGAAGATTCTGACAGACATGGTGCTGCGGTTGTTTCGGGTACATACAGGCTAAACCCTTAAAGCCGGGCAGTCACTGTGCGACTTTTTCACTTTTTTGAGCCGATTTTCCACTCGTGCGAGAATCCACAAAATCGGGGCAAGTTTTGCGCTGAGCTTCGTGTAGTGTACAGGGGGGTTACGAGAGGCAATTAACACCACGTGACCAGCTACCGATCAGCAATCGTGAGCTCGCATGGACTTCTGGCATGTTTGATATAATGCTCGTCCCTCGTGAGGGTATCGCACTGTTGAAGCGGCGCTGCGAGCAGCTGCGACCCAAAAAGTATCAGAACCGCTCACGGCGCATGGCAATCATGCATCAACACCGCTCGCCCCCGCTATTTCCCTAATAACACATGTTCGTTTTTATTTCCACGTTTTTTTACTCACAAAGATTGTCATGAAAGCGTGTTTGTCGTGTTCATGTCAAATTAAACTGATCACAAAACACAGATTTACTTTCTTTATTTCGTTTTCCTCATCCAACCCCCATAAATCCCTGTGTGTCCTCCTGCAGCTCTCCCGAAGGACAACAGGCAAAACAAGACAAAAAAAATCTGATGTGTTTTGTAAAAACTGCTATTTTTAGCATATTTTAGGTCCGACATGTTGCTACCAGACGTACAGTGAGCAGTCAGGTCGCATCCGAGAACTGGGTTATACATTTTGAGCACATGACTCGTGAGATCTGCCCTGCGAGGAAGTCGTACAGTTTGAGCTGAAGCTGAGGGCTACGAGTGAAAAAGTCGCACAGTGTCCGCCTAGCTTTAGGCACGTCTTCCCTACATGTTATACAAGAGATTTGAAATCAAGAAGAAAAACTTGCAACACAGTATGGATCTGTTCTCAATGAGATGTTATTAGTGGAAAATAAACATAAATAGATCTAAAGATGTTACTGGTACTTTTGCTATCATGCTGTTGTGGAAAGTCAGCACAAATATTCAGTGAAAACTTTAAAAAGCTGCTTAAACCTTCATTATTTTATAGTGGGCCTGAATATATTTATAAAATCAGTTGATTGTTTAAAGTCTCGTCTCGTCTTCCTCCGCTTATCCGGGTCCGGGTCGCGGGGGCAGCATCCCAACTAGGGAGCTCCAGGCCGTCCTCTCCCCGGCCTTGTCCACCAGCTCCTCCGGCAGGACCCCAAGGCGCTCCCGGACCAGATTGGAGATGTAACCTCTCCAACGTGTCCTGGGTCGACCCGGGGGCCTTCTGCCGGCAGGACATGCCCGAAACACCTCCCCGGGGAGGCGTCCAGGAGGCATCCTGACCAGATGCCCAAATCACCTCAACTGGCTCCTTTCGATCCGGAGGAGCAGCGGTTCTACTCCGAGTCCCTCCCGAATGTCCGAGCTCCTCACCCTATCTCTAAGGCTGAGCCCGGCCACCCTACGGAGGAAACTCATTTCGGCCGCTTGTATTCGCGATCTCGTTCTTTCGGTCATTACCCAAAGCTCATGACCATAGGTGAGGATTGGGACGTAGATCGACCGGAAAATCGAGAGCCTGGCTTTCTGGCTCAGCTCCCTCTTCCCCACGACAGATCGGCTCAGCGTCCGCATCACTGCAGATGCCGAACCAATCCGCCTGTCGATCTCCCGATCCCTCCTACCCCCACTCGTGAACAAGACCCCGAGATACTTAAACTCCTCCACTTGAGGTAGGACCTCTCCCCCGACCCGGAGGTGGCAAGCCACCCTTTTCCGGTCGAGAACCATGGTCTCAGATTTGGAGGTGCTGATCCTCATCCCAGCCGCTTCACATTCGGCCGCGAACCTACCCAGCAAGAGCTGAAGGTCAGAGCTGGATGAAGCTAGGAGGACCACATCATCCGCAAAAAGCAGAGACGAGATTCTCTTGCCACCAAACTCGACACACTCCACACCACGGCTGCGTCTAGAAATTCTGTCCATAAAAGTGATGAACAGAACCGGTGACAAAGGGCAGCCCTGGCGGAGTCCAACCCTCACTGGGAACAGGTCCGACTTACTACCGGCTATGCGGACCAAACTCACGCTCCTCTGGTAAAGGGACTGAATGGCCCTTAACAGAAAGCCACCCACCCCATACTCCTGGAGCGTCCCCCACAGGGTGCCCCTGGGGACACGGTCATAAGCCTTCTCCAAATCCACAAAGCACATGTGGATTGGTTGGGCAAACTCCCATGCCCCCTCCATCACCCTTGCAAGGGTATAGAGCTGGTCCACAGTTCCACGGCCAGGACGAAAACCACATTGCTCCTCCTCTATCTGAGATTCAACTATCGATCGGACCCTCCTCTCCAGTACCTTGGAGTAGACCTTTCCAGGGAGGCTGAGGAGTGTGATCCCCCTATAGTTGGAACACACCCTCAGGTCACCCTTCTTAAAGATGGGGACCACCACCCCGGTCTGCCACTCCCTAGGAACTGCCCCTGATGACCACGCAATGTTGCAGAGACGTGTCAACCATGACAGCCCTACAACATCCATAGCCTTGAGATACCCAGGACGAACCTCATCCGCCCCCGGGGCTCCACCGCTGTGTAGTTGTTTGACTACCTTAGCAACTTCTGCCCCCGAGATCGGACAGTCCATCCCCCGGCCTCCCAGCTCTGGTTCCTCCTCGGAATGCGCATTGGTGGGATTGAGGAGCTCCTCAAAGTATTCCTTCCACCGTCCGACTATAGCCTCAGTTGACGTCAGCAGCTCCCCATCCCCACTGTAAACAGTGTGAGCGAGTTGCTGCCTTCCTCTCCTGAGGCGCCGGACAGTTTGCCAGAACCTCTTTGGAGCCGATCGATAGTCTTTCTCCATGGCCTCACCAAACTCCTCCCACGCCCGAGATTTTGCCTCGGCAACTGCCACTGCTGCACCCCGCTTGGCTATCTGGTACCTGTCTGCTGCCTCCGGAGACCCACAGACCAGCCACGCCCTGTAGGCCTCCTTCTTCAGCCTGACGGCTCCCCGAACCTCTGGTGTCCACCAGCGGGTACGGGGGTTGCCACCACGACTGGCACCGGCCACCTTACGACCACAGCTAGCAACAGCCGCCTCGACAATCGCAGAGTGGAACAAGGCCCACTCGGACTCAATGTCCCCCACTGCTCTCGGGACGTGGTCAAAGCTCTGCCGGAGGTGGGAGTTGAAGACCGTCTTGACAGGTTCTTCTGCCAGGCGTTCCCAGCAGACCCTCACTATGCGTTTGGGTCTGCCAGGTCTACGCGGCATGTTCCCCTGCCATCTGATCCACCTCACCACCAGGTGGTGATCAGTTGACAGCTCCGCCCCTCTCTTCACTCGGGTGTCCAAAACATACGGCCGCAGGTCAGATGATACGACTACAAAATCTATCATCGACCTGTGACCTAGGCTGCCCTGGTACCAAGTGTACCGGTGGGCATCCTTATGTTCGAACATGGTGTTCGTTATGGCCAAACTGCGGCTTGCACAGAAGTCCAATAACAAAACACCGCTCGAGTTCAGATTAGGTGGGCCGTTCCTCCCAATCACACCCCTCCAGGTCAAGCTGTCATTGCCCACGTGAGCATTGAAGTCCCCCAGCAGGACAATGGAGTTCCCTGATGGAGCACTATCTAGCACTCGTCCCAGGGACTCCAAAATGGGTGGGTACTCTGAACTGATATTTGGCCCATAAGCACAAACAACAGTCAGGACCCGTTCCCCGACCCGAAGGCGCAAGGAAGCTACCCTCTTGTCCCCCAGGGTAAACCCCAACACACAGGCAGAGAGTCTCGGGGCTAACAAAAAGCCAACCCCAGCCCTCCGCCTCTCACCCGGAGCAACTCCAGCAAAGTAGAGTGTCCAACCCTTCTCCAGGTCTCGGGTTCCAGAGCCAATGCAATGTGTCGAGGTGAGTCCGACTATATCTAGCCGGTAACGCTCAACCTCTGCCACAAGCTCCGGCTCCTTCCCCGCCAGCGAGGTGACGTTCCATGTCCCAAAAACTAGTTTTCTTGTCCGGGGATTGGACCGCCAAGGCTCCCGCCTTGGTCTGCCACCCGATTCACATCGCACCGGACCCTTCATGTTCCTCCTGCGGGTGGTGGGTCCACAGTTGGACGAGCCCATGTATCCGGTTCGGGCTGGGCCCGGCCGGGCCCCATGGGCGAAAGCCCGGCCACCAGGCGCTCGCTCACGGGCCCCAACCCCAGGCCTGGCTCCAGGGTGGGACCCCGGTAACCCTCCGGGCCGGGTACTCCGACTCTTCGTTTTAACCGCCATGAAAGATCCTTCGAACCGTTCTTTGTCTCACCCTTCACCTAAGACCAATTTGTCATGGGAGACCCTACCAGGGGCACTAAGTGCCCCAGACAACATAGCTCCTAGGATCATTAGGGCACTCAAACTCCTCCACCACGATAAGGTGACGGTTCAAGGAGGAGTGATTGTTTAAAGTGACTAGCTAAAGTTACTCTGATCCACTGTAGAAGGTCCAGTCTGAGTTAAGCTGTGGTAACTGGAGAGGAGCTGAGAAACGGCATTAAAGCTTTTGCTGTTTGCTTGTTCCAATTTAATTTAAAAAGAATATATGACATCAGTTATATAATAATTGTATCATATGTATATTTAACAGTCATGTTAGAGATAAAAGGCAGAATAGATTAAAAAAAAATTTTTTAACTATCTGGTTACATTAAAGCTTCACATCCCACAGTGAGTAGTATCTGTCCCATATGGTGAGTTGGGATCTGGCCATCCTACTGAAGAATGATTAGTCATTTGGAATATTTTCAGATGTGTTTATGTTTGGTGTTTTGTGAATTAGATTCATAATAATAGTTTATTATATGATGATCCCTAATCATTATCTGATTAGTTATTTCAGTTTATTATATTTAGCTGTCTTGACAGTAGGACTGGTAGAAAATTGCTTGCATTTTGCAAAAACATCACATAATTTTTTTTAAATATTCTCAATAAAATAAAAGTAAATAAATGTCAGAGGTCCCTAAAAACCAAACCCCCACTGTAGAATAGATGCACATCTGCAGCACGTGAGGACCTTGTTTGGGGGGAGAGTTATTTTAGTTGTCACTTTTTTCACAGCCTCAGAGTTTGTGGCTATGAAAAATCGATTCAATTCAAAGATATTTTATTAATCCTCAAGGGAAATTAGTTTCAGTACACACAATTCAGAGATCAGACATACATGGGCAAGACACATGTTGCAAGATGCATGTAAACTAAAAATATATATATTTTGTTCTATGCGCACGGTTTGCATTTTTGTACCACGTGGCTTTACATATTATTGCTACAGCCTCGCTGTCCCGGATGTGACGTAACCCAATATGAAGTGGAAAACGAAGCAATGCAGTATTTAAAAACAATATATGAGTGTTTAACAGTTGATTAGTTCTTTGCGATAGTCTTAATTTTATTTTTTACAAGGTCTTAAAAAGTCTTGAAAAAGTCTTGAATTTAATTTTGAGATTCCTGCATATACCCTGTGTTATTACTGACATGAAGTGAAGCATTATTGAAGGCTATTTTTATAGAACTATTTCAATTTTGTGCCTTTACTGTTTGCACTGCAGCTTTGCTCTCTGCAGCCATAGAACCGGTTGGCCGCCTTGAGAATGGAAGCACGGCCCACTTAGACGCAATGTCCTCTGCCTCCCACGGAACATTTTGGGATTTCTGTCAGAGTTGGGATTCGAAACAACTTCTGACAGGAGACTTTGCCAGACGTTCCTAGCAGACCCTCACAATATGTTTGGGCCTACCAGGTCTGACCAGCATCCTCCCCCACCACCAAAGCCAACTCACCACCAGTGGTCAGTTGACAGCTCAGGCCCTCGCTTCACCCGAGTGTCCAAGACATGCGGCCGCAGATCAGATGAGATGACAGCTAAGTCGATCATCGAGCTGCAGCCTACGATATCCTGGTGCCAAGAGCACATATGGACACCTTTATGCTTGAACATGGTGTTCATTATGGTAAATGGCCTGTATTTGATATAGCGCCTTCTATAGTCCTGGAACCCTTCCCCCCCCAAAGTGCTTTACAACACAATCACCCATTCACACACACATTCATACGCTGGTGGGGATGAGCTACGATGTAGCCACAGCTGCCCTGGGGCGCACTGACAAAGGCGGGGCTGCCGAGTACAGGCGCCACCGGTTCCTCCGACCACCACCAGCAGGCAGTGGGGGTTAAGTGTCTTGCCCAAGGACACAACGACAAACTGAGCGGGGCTCAAACCTTCAACCTGAGCACCTAATTCCTGTGCCACATCGCCCGCAATTATGGACAATCCATGATGAGAACACAAGTCCAATAACAAAACACTACTCGAGTTCAGATCAGGGTGCTGTATTTCTCTGATACTGAGTGGAGAACCTCTCACAATTGTTTTCTGATGCTAAATACATTAAAAAGGAATGAATGGAGAACCCAGGGAAGTACGGCGGTTCATCAAGACAGACAACTCGATGGTCCAAAAGTTGATTTTGATCTGAAACGTGTTATTGGCAGTTTTTTTTTTAGCAGTGTTTAGACAAATGCAAAAGAACAACTTCATTTCTTTTAAATCTCAGCAATAAAATTACAGCTATACTTTGTTAGAATGTTAAGAGGCATGAAACTTGTTTTAGGCCAATTTGTTTTCCAAATTTGCCATTGCAGCTTTAACGAGTAATAATGTCACTTTTCAGTATTGAACTGAACTGGGTTAAGATTATATTGGGTAGTTTTAGAACAGATTAAAGTGGCTATCTGTTTTGTCACCTCTTACCTCCACAGACTAACGACATGGAGGCGTCGCAGCTTTCAGTCAAGCTTCAGGATTGTTACAACAGACTTGCAGTGTTGGAGGACAATGAGCTTAACATCTACTGTCCAGTGATAGGACAGGCTTGTGTCGCTCGCTTTGAGAGGAATATATGGTACAGAGCCAAAATCATAGGTAAGTGTGTGTGGGTGTTAAATGTTTTACTCATTCTTAGCTTATTGCACTAACTTTCTATAAAGACAGACAAAACATTTGTTGCTCTAATCTTGATTTATTTTTTTGGACAAACTTTCACAGAAAACCAATTGTAAGTTGCAGAGACTCAAACCTATATGTCTGTGTTTGTGATTTAATGTTGCGTAATTGGTTGTTTTGACGGTTTTTGATATTCGGCATCAATATTGTATTGAGATTATAGTTCTGTGTAAAAGTAGTAGTTTTACGTAACTCTACATGTTTTCAGTGTTTGCAACTGAAAGAACCAGCATTGTTTTGTTGGGTTCTTATCTAACCTGACAGGTGGTGTGGGTTTATCTGCAGGTCTACCAAGAACAAGAGAGGTGGAAGTGCAGTATGTTGACCATGGAAGTAAGAAGGTGTTGTCCGTCAATGACCTGAGGAAGATCAAAGATGAGTTCTTAGCTCTTCCTTCCAAGGTGAGAACAAAATGTATTTTCTACCAAAATTTAAAGCAGCAGCATATAAGTTGGCTTTGACAATTAAAGTAGCTGCTTTCTTTGCTGTTTTGCTGTCGGTTTTTCATTAGCCTCAGTACATTCTTGTTTGTTTGTAGGGTTGTCACGGTAACCGGTATAGCGGTAAACCCCGGTAAAAATGTTGACAATAAAAATAACCGTCCAGTTTTTAATAAACTAAATTATCTCGGTGGGTTTACCGTGGCCGCGGTTTCGGCGCGGTGACCCTTACCAGCCACCGTCGCTTCAGCTGAAGTTCCCGCGGCGCGCACACGCACTTTTTAGTTTGCAACGGCACCAAAACTTTGAAGCTGAAATAATGGCCGAAGGAGGAGACGGCAGCGCCCAGGACATCCATCAGCCCTCAAAGAAGACTAAATCGGAAGTATGGGCATATTTTGGATTTCTGAAAAATGCTGAGGGACAGTTAATAGAAGACGGCTATCCCGTTTGCAGAACGTGCAGGAAACAAGTGTCTGCAAAAGGCAGCAACACTTCGAATCTAATGGCACATCTGAGTGACCATCACCCACGTCTCTACAGCCAGTGCAAGGTAAGTTAACATTAGCATTTTAGCTTAAATGCATGACGTGAGGACTTTTGGTTGAGAGAGAATGCAACGAGTCACTATATACTGCAGCCGCAGCGTCCTCTGCCAGCATTTAAACCGTGTCACGGACACCCTGTTGCTGGATGAAGCATCTTATTTGTTGATGATGAAGAGAAATATACAATTAGCTCCTTGTCATTGATTTGTTTACTTATTCAATGCCATTTATACTTGAACATTTGGATTTGATTACATAGTGTAGTAGTTATTTTAGTAATTTGTTTAAAGTGGCTATTTATTTTAAATACATATTTTTTTAAGGTTGACTTGTACAGTGCTCAAGTCAAGTGTGGACTGGAGTTTTAGATTTTCATTTTGATAATGAAGAAAACAAGTATATGAGAAAACAAGTGGTGTTTCTTTGATTTGTTTACATATTGTTTATGTTTTGAATGTTTGGATTTGTATCATTTAAACCTGCACGGACTACTGTAACATGTTCCAGAAAAAGAAGCTATTTGTTCCTTTACTTGTGAAAAGTTGCACTTTTGCTAAGACTTTGTGTTACTTTAGGATTAATAAACACTGTTAAACCTTTTCAAAACTATTTCAGTTTGTGTAGAACAGGACTATCAATGCTTTCTGAACATATGCAACACCGTTTAAAAAATACCGCGATAATACCGAAAACCGTGATAATTTTGGTCACAATAACCGTGAGGTTAAATTTTCATACCGTGACAACCCTATTTGTTTGTGTTGGATATGCTGAAGATAAAGTCTAATCAGCAGTAGCTCAACAGGTTGAGTCCAGTAATCGGAAGGTTGCAGGTTCGATCCCAGCTTTGGACAGAGAATTCTGCTGTTGTGTCCTTGGGCAAAACACTTAAATGGCCTGTATTTGATATAGCGCCTTCTAGAGTCATGCAGTGCATTTACATGCAGCCAGTAACCCTTTTAAAACCCGAATATTCACAATAACCCGGTTCCGCAGGTCCTTGTAAACCGCCAAAAACCTGGATATGCTCATAACCGGGTTTTTAAAAACCCGGTTACTACACCTGGGGTAACCCTTTTCTAACCCGAATGTTTGGTCGTGTAAACGCATATCGGGATATCCCCATCAAAGCGCGTGTTCTGCGCATGCTCTGTTCGCAAGGAATCTTGGTCTTTTGAGTAGCGAGACGTCTTGTATGCACCAGAACACCGGAAGTAAACAAAAAGTTGGGGGCAAAATGGCGAGTCGCGGCACAGCACCACACTTTCAGTGACGAGGAAACTAAAGCGCAAACAAACGCGGTCACTATCTCTTCCGAACTGGGAAACATGTTGTTGTTTTCACGGATACCAGAACAAGAAGAACCGGAAATGAGGCATATTGCGTCTGGACGTAGTCCATACGTCCTGACGCTACCCCAACGTCCGCATTTAAATCGGTTATGCAAGTTAGGGGTAACTCTTTCTATTTATGCTTGTTAACGGGTTATTCTGATCAACTCAGAAACCCGAATCCCGACCTTAACCCGATCATAACCCGGATATTGGCTGCATGTAAACGTAGTCATGGAACCCCTCAAGGCACTTTACAACACAATCAGTCATTCACCCATTCACACTAGAGCCCTGCACTGAAGCCCTAGGCCCTCGGGTCAGGCTTCAGGCCAACGACTGTGTAATTATCTCGGGCACAGGCCGGGCGCCTTTATCTTTAATTGAATTCATTAAAAAAACTGAAACACTTAAACGCAGCAGCACCTGCCTGCTTCTCACGCACCGGCACCCGTTGGCTCAGTTAAGGTCTGTGTGGTTTATAAATGCGCCTATATAAACGAATTCTCAAACTGTTGATTGAAACATGTGCCCCTATTCTAATATGCCATTTTATGTCCACTTTGCTATGTCAGAAACCATACGTTTATTCTCATGAAAACGGCAGCGTTCTATTTTTCTGTGAATAAATTCGCTTTGCAGTTAAAAAAATACAGCATTCATTGCCTTTGCAAAGGTTTTTGGGGTTTTTTTTCTAACTGGAGAGCGCATTATCAGAGCGGCAGATTAAATTTACAAACGCTATATTAATTGGGGGCATTTATTTAATCTGCCGCTCTGAATGCGCTCTGCAGTTAGAAAATTAGAATGCTGCTTTTTTTCTAATTGCACTAGAGCGCATTTTCAGAGCAGATTAAATTTACAAACGCATCCAATTAATATAGTGTTGGTAAATTTCATCTGCCGCTCGAAAAGTACGCTCTGTTAGAAAAAAAAAGCTGCATTGATTCTGTTTTTCTTTCCTTCCTTTTTTTTTTTTTTTTTTTTTTTTTTTTTTTGTACTGCAGAACACTTCTCACAGATAAGTAGAATGCTGACCATTATATCACGCAAAAACATTATGAAAGGTTAAAAAAAAAAAGTCGGGCTCGGGTCGGGCCAGAGAATCCTGAAAACCTTTTCGGACCGGGTCGGGCTGGGGCTCCACCCCCTCGGGCCGGGCTGGACACGGCCTCAGATTTTAGGCCCATGCAGGGCTCTTAATTCACACACACATTCACACACTGGTGGGGATGAGCTACGATGTAGCCACAGCTGCCCTGGGCCGCACTGACAGAGGCGAGGCTGCCGAGCACTGGCGCCACCGGTCCCTCCGACCACCACCAGCAGGCAACGTGGGTTAAGTGTCTTGCACAAGGACACAGCGACAGACTGAGCGGTGCTCGAACCTGCAACCTTCCGATTACGGGGCGAGCACTTATCTCCTGTGCCACCGTCGCCCACCTAACACTTAACCCACCTTGCCTGCTGGTGGTGGTCGGAGGGACTGGTGGCGCCTGTGCTCGGCAGCCTCGCCTCTGTCAGTGCGGCCCAGGGCAGCTGTGGCTACATCGTAGCTCATCACCATCAGTGTGTGAATGTGTGTGTGAATGGATGAATGATACACTGTAGTGTAAAGCGCTTTGGAGTCCTTACTCTAAGAGGCACTAAACAAGTGCGGGTCATTAATCGTTCTATTGATATTTCTGTACTTCCCATATTAGAAAATTGCTTGGAGACATGCACAGAAAGTGTCTCTATTTAAATTCAGGCCATTCACTGCTGTTTGGCCGAGGTTGTTCCTGTGGATGGAAAGAACTGGAGTGGAGCCTGCACCAACCGTTTCATCAGCCTCACGAACCAACAGCTGGTCACTATGGTCGTCATAGGTACCGATTTTGCCATACTCACTGATGTTTGTTCATATTGTTCAGCTTTCTCAACTAAACAAATTATGTGGTCTGTTTTTTGTTTTTGAATTGAATTGTTTGACAGGAAAAGTTCCAAGGACTGAGCCTTTGCCAGTCATCATGTTTGAGGCCGGCGTGGGTAAACAACAGTCCAGCATCGCTGAGCTACTGGTGAAAGAGAAGCTAGCATCTTTTAAAGATGGGTAATTCTTCTCTTAGGTGTCAGCAACTTCCTAGGGCTGGGCGATAAAGCAGTTTTATTGATTAATTTGAATTTGCCGTTAAGGTTACTGTTTACCATTACCTTTGCAGTGGCCTAGTTTTATGAGTGTCTGCCTCGAGACTGGGAGATCCTGGGTTCAAATTCATGGTCCTGTCATACCAAAGACTTTAAAAAGGGGACCCAATGCCTTTCTGCTTGTCACTCAGCATTAAGGGGTTAGATTGGAGGGTTAAACCACCAAATAGTTCCCGAGGGACCGGGTGTGTCTGCATCTCACCGCTCCCCACAGGGATGGGTCAAATGTGGAGATGTAATTTCACCAGTGTGTGATGATAACTAATGGGACTTCATCTTAGCATAGCAGCGATGCTAACAATCATTAGCAAATTAAAAGATGTGAAATTTTGTTTATCGTTCATAACAGCAAAGATTTAACATTTATGAAAGTTTTCTGGCTCCAGTTTAATTTTTATTGCATTTATTTTACATGAAAATATAAAAATCAGAGTGATTGACATTACACTTGAGTTTCACACTGCAGGTTTAGTTTCCCGATATTTGGACATGGGACAGAAGTAGCACAGGAAGTAAAGCAGGTTGTTCAGTAATTGAAAGGTTGCAGGTTCAATCCAGACTCTGGCCAGATAATGCTGCTATTGTGTCTTTGGGCTAGACACTAAACCCGCCTTGCCTGCTGGTGGTGGTCAGAGGGACTAGTGGCGTCTGTGCTTGGAATGCCTTGCCTATTTCAGTGCACCTCAGGGCAGCTGTGGCTACATTGTAGCTCATCACCACCAGTGTTTGTTAATGGATGAATGATACACTGTAGTGTAAAGCGCTTTGGAGTCCTCTGACTTAGAAAGGCGCTATACAAGTGCAGGTCTTTTACATCCCAGATTGGATAACAGCAATGCAACTCTACCACTGACTTGCAACGTAGATGTTGTATCTCCTCAAATAACACAAGGCTGGAAGAGCTTCTGTCATCGGTTGCTAATGGTTATAGTAGTCAAGACTTTCTCTTCTGATTTCTGGACACTAAACAACAGTCTTCCCATCGTGAGTAATGATCGGCAAGTCCTTGAATGTTAAATGACATCGTTACCAAGATCTGTCAGGATTTTCAAATCTGAGTTTACCTGTCTTATCTATTAGAAGTTAATGCAGGTGATAGGTGTAGGAGACTATTTTCACATTAAGCCTGCATGAAAAACTCAGAGTGACCAATTATTGAATTGAGAGTTACGTGTGTAACTAAGGTTATATGAATTGCAGATGACCGCCAGAGTGCTGTGCATAGCACTGGCTATGGCATGCATGCAGTGCAGAGGTAGAGAAAAATACCAACAAAGTTGCTCATTGGAAGTGACCCAAGTGACGTGGTAGCAGTCTATACAGTGGGGCAAAAAAGTATTTAGTCAGTCACCGATTGTGCAAGTTCTCCCACTTAAAATGATGACAGAGGTCAGTAATTTACATCATAGGTACACTTCAACTGTGAGAGACAGAATGTTAAAAAAAATCCATGAATTCACATGGCAGGATTTTTAAAGAATTTATTTGTAAATCAGGGTGGAAAATAAGTATTTGGTTACTTCAAACAAGGAAAATCTCTGGCTGTCACAGACCTGTAACGTCTTCTTTAAGAAGCTTTTCTGTCCTCCACTCGTTACCTGTATTAATGGCACCTGTTTGAACTCATTATCTGTATAAAAGACACCTGTCCACAGCCTCAAACAGTCAGACTCCAAACTCCACTATGGCCAAGACCAAAGAGCTTTCGAAGGACACCAGGAAAAGAATTGTAGACCTGCACCAGACTGGGAAGAGTGAATCTACAATAGGCAAGCAGCTTGGTGTGAAAAAATCAACTGTGGGAGCAATTATCAGAAAATGGAAGACATACAAGACCACGAGGGCTCCACGCAAGATCTCATCCCGTGGGGTCAAAATGATCATGAGGACGGTGAGCAAGAATCCCAGAACCACACAGGGGGACCTGGTGAATGACCTGCAGAGAGCTGGGACCACAGTAACAAAGGTCACCATCAGTAACACACTACAACGGCAGGGAATCAAATCCTGCAGTGCCAGACGTGTTCCGCTGCTGAAGCCAGTGCATGTCCAGGCCCGTCTGAAGTTTGCCAGAGAGCACATGGATGATACAGCAGAGGATTGGGAGAATGTCATGTGGTCAGATGAAACCAAAGTAGAACTTTTTGGTATAAACTCAACTTGTCGTGTATGGAGGAAAAAGAATACTGAGTTGCATCCCAAGAACACCATACCTACTGTGAAGCATGGGGGTGGGAACATAATGCTTTGGGGCTGTTTTTCTGCTAAGGGGACAGGACAACTGATCCGTGTTAAGGACAGAATGAATGGGGCCATGTATCGTGAGATTCTGAGCAAATCCTCCTTCCATCAGTGAGAGCTTTGAAGATGAAACATGACTGGGTCTTCCAACACGAAAATGATCCCAAACACACCGCCCGGGCAACAAATGAGTGGCTCCGTAAGAAGCATTTGAAAGTCCTGGAGTGGCCTAGCCAGTCTCCAGACCTCAACCACATAGACAATCTGTGGAGGGAGTTGAAAGTCCGTGTTGCTCGGCGACAGCCCCAAAACATCACTGCTCTCGAGAAGATCTGCATGGAGGAATGGGCCAAAATACCAGCTACTGTGTGTGCAAACCTGGTAAAGACCTATAGTAATCGTTTGACCTCTGTTATTGCCAACAAAGGTAATGTTACAAAGTACTGAGTTGAATTTTTGTTATTGACCAAATACTTATTTTCCACCCTGATTTACAAATATATTCTTTAAAAATCCTGCCATGTGAATTCGTGGATTTTTTTTCACATTCTGTCTCTCACAGTTGAAGTGTACCTATGATGAAAATTACTGACCTCTGTCATCATTTTAAGTGGGAGAACTTGCACAATCGGTGGCTGACTAAATACCTTTTTTTCCCTACTGTATATTCCCCACACCACCTGAGTGGCACCTGACCATGGGAGGTGCCAGACCTTTGGAAGTGTAAGCCTGCAGAATGTCATGAATGGCCCAGTGCAAAAGTTATTTGGAAACAGCATAACCTTATCTGTGACCCCGTAAGGCATATGTCTTACGAGTTTCAACAGTCACACTGATGTACCGCTTCAGCATCTGAATAGGACACAAAGGCTGTCTGTAGATGCATCTGACCCAGCATGCGAGGTAAACACAGCCAATGATACAGGCTGGTTAATATGAAATGTTGACAGCCTTTTAGGCAAGAAGGATAAGTTGGGCCATAGGGTCACCCCAGACCCATCTTCATTCGAATGTAAGCAATACTCAGCAACTGATAGGGTGTGGAGTTCACTCACACGCTTCGCAGAAAAGAGTGCCAGTAGAAAGGCAGATTTTACCGACACCCAGCAAAGATCAGCACCTTCCACAGACTTGAAGGGCAGAGAACCTAAGCCTTCCAGGACCAGAAGAAGGTCCCAAGAAGGCTCTCTTGGGAGCTTTGGAGGATGCAGGCACAAAGCTCCTTTCAAAAAGGGACACACCAGGGGATGAGATCCCACTGAACAACTACAAAGACATGTTTGGCAGAAATTGCAGTGACATATTTTAATAGTAGAGACAGAGACCCTTCTCCAGAAAGGGGGATTGCACACAGGAGGCTGTTTGGTCATGGATGTGCCAGAGGATCCTGTCCCAATGGGCTGTCCAGTTCTGACAGGGAGAACCATAGCAGGCAGTGTGTCGTCATTCTTAAAGCAAAGAGGTCCAGCTCGGCTGCAACATACCTCTGCCAAATCATTCCCACAATAACCAGGTTCAATTTCTACACTCCCAGGAGAGGAGATCTGCAGCACCATTCTACACGCCAGGCGAGTGGACTGCCCTGACACTCTGAACGGGGCAAAGCCCACAGGAGAAGCGTTCGAGCTTCCACCAGTGAGTGAATGGACCTGGTGACGCCCCGGTGATTTATGTGGAAGACCATAGACATGTTGTCCAATCTGACAAGGACGTGTTTCCCTTCTAGGGCAGGGAGAAAATACTCGAAAGCTGGGCGAACAGAATGTAGCTCCAAAACATTAACCGTAAATCCTCTAATATTAGCCTGTATTTAATTAACTGCCGGGTATCATATTTTGGTCGGAGTCGGCGGAGGTGAATAATGGCCGTTTTTTTATTGTGGCCGGAAGGAATGTGGTAACAAGCAAGTACGGGGGGCGGTTGTGTCATCCGTCTCACTTTTGATTTGCCAGTGATAGACCGCGAGGGTAACTTTAACCGTGCGGAGATGAAGAGGAGGCGAAAATTTGATATCAAGTTCAAAGAGAACGTGCTGATTATGCTGTAGAACACTCTGGGGAGCAGTAGCAGGGGTTGTATGAACTAGTCACTAATCTACTTCACCGCTCTATAGTGACTATTTATGCCTGTCGTCGACTAGTCGCTGTCACATGATAATGACCGGCAAGATGCAGTCCTCGGAAAAGACAGCAGCCTGCTGTCAGCAGGTGACAAGCTCCTGCGTGCCTGGAGGCAACGCGCTGTGCCAGAGCGTTGGTACTGACACTCGCTGTAAAACGGACATTTAACCAAATTGTGACGTTTACCCTCTTGCAATTTAACATTCCCCTTACCCCCATCCTAACCTTAACCAGCTTGCGCATGCAAAGCTCTGATTGTTGACGTGCTCCAGACGTCTGCGTCCTGAGCACAGCCACAGTAACATTATCAAATCAGGTGTCACCACCTCAAACACTAATTTATCATGCGATCGTTCATGTCGGCTCATTTCCTATTATGTTTTCTGTCTTTTATTCTTTTATTTGTGCCTGATGCGTTTCGCTGCTGTGGATCAGGGCACATCACCTGTTTTGTCCTCGGTGACGCATCTAACTGATGTGGCCGGCGAGCACTCCGCTGTTTTTGCGGTCGGGAAATCTTTTAGAACTGCATTTCAAAGGTAAC